CAGAGGTGGCAGCTGGGCAGAGGTGGAGGCTGGGCAGAGGTGGAGGCTGGACAGAGGTGGAGGCTGGGCAGAGGTGGAGGCTGGGCAGAGGTGGCGGCTGGGCAGAGGTGGAGGCTGGGCGAAGGTGGAGGCTGGGTGGAGGTGGGGTGAAGGCGGAGGTGCAGGGCCAGAATGAGGAGAAGCATTTGCAAGGACTGGCTGCCCTGGAGTTCTCAGGAACTGAAAACTCACTTCCCATCCTTGCCATGGGAGCAAACATCCCTGGAAAGCGACATGAACTGAATTCCCCCCCCACCCCCCCACCCCACCCCCCGTTTAGGATATATAGAACCCTTCTCAACTACATGCACAGCAGTGGGATTCCAGGCAGCTGCACAGCACAGGGACACTCGGACTGCTTAGTGTCTCTGAAAGCAGAGTCAGTTATAGGGTTGAGAAAAGGCAGTCAAGAAACCAAGTTCCAAGGTCTGGTTTCTTAACTCTTCTAGCTCTGAAAGTGTGAGCTATTTCTTAACCTCTGTACAACCTCATGTTTTCATCTACGAAAGGAGGCATTCATCCTCCGTGGCCAGGTCTTATTGGGAGCTTTGTGGAAGTGTCTGAAATTCCTTAGGCTCCCATCCAGACTCTCGAGCCTCTTCCTGGCTGGCTTGTTCTCCATACATGCACGGAATGAGGCACATAGAAGACAGAGAATGAATGAATGATGCACACAAATCAGAAACTTGACACGTTGCCCAGCACACTGCGCTTCTCATCAGAAACCAGGCGCCCACAGGAAGCGCGGCTCGGGCCCAGAGTACTGTGGGCACTGTTGCCTGCATGCTTGTTTGCCTTTCTTCTCTGAGCCTCAGTTCCCTCACCTATAAGATAGGAGTCATTCCTCCAAGTCTCAGGCTGCATGTTCTACAGATCACTGGTGAATGGTTAGGATGTAGACGTTCAAGGTATGCATGCTGAGTTGGGAAGGCTTGTGAAGAGCTTTGCCCGGGCAGACGATGTTCTGCAAAGAGGGCTAGGACGGGCCAGAGTACCAGGCAGGGGCAACATCAGGGCCATCCCAGAAGGTCATGCAGAGATCCCCCAGGCTGTGTGAGGCCCGTTCTATACCATGCTCTGAGCTGAGCTAAGAATCATCTTGTAGGTGAGAGAAAACCCCTTGTGTGCAAGTACCAGGGACTGCCAGTCCTTCCCCAAGGCCCGAGAGGAGCCGTACTCTTGGGTATGACTACCCTGACCCCACCCCATAGTTTACTTACTTACTGACACCCTCAACAGACCATCTTTTGCCAGGCAGAGCAGGTAGAAAGGATAAAAAATGAATATGCTTTCAGAATGGAGCAGGAGGTGGAGGGCAGGGCCACACCTAGGGCTACCCATGTGCTTTGGGGTGGCAAAGATGATGACCGTGAGGCTCCACAGAAAGGCTGCGTGATCCTTTTTTGATTTTTTCTTTTTATTTCTTTGCATGTTCTTTTTGTTGCTGTTGTTTATTCTTTCTTTCTCTTTCCTTCCTTCCTGTCTTTATGCCTTTCCACCTTTCCCTTTCTCTTTTCTATTTTACTATTATTATTATTATTATTATTATTATTATTATTATTATTTGTGTTTAGTACAGGATCTCACTACATAGATCAGACTCATAGTGATCCTCCTGTTCTCAGCCTCTCAAGCCCTGGAATTATAGGCGCCACCATGCCCAGTCTCAATTGCCATCTCAGTGCACCCCAGGGGCAGGGCCAGCACCGCAGGCTGGGGATCGAACCCCAGTCCCTGCGTTTGCCTAAGCAGGCACTTTAATCTGCTGAGCTATCTGGCTAGCCCTTCCCTTTCTCTCTCTCTCTCTCTCTCTTTTTTTTTTTTTTTTTTTTTTTTTTTTGGCAGAACCAGGGATTGAATTCAGATCCTTGCACTTGCCAGGGAAGTACTTATTCTACTGAGCCATCTCCCCGGCCCTCCCTTTCTCTTTTCATTTCCCTCTTTTTCTTTCTTTCTTCTTTCTTTCTTTCTTTCTTTCTTTCTTTCTTTCTTTCTTTCTTTCTTTCTTTCTTTCTTCTTTCTTCTTTCTTTCTTCCTCCTTACTTTAAGAGGGGTCTCATTACATTGCCCAGTCCAAGGCTGTCCTTGGACTCCAGGGCTCAAGCAGTTCTCCTGCCTCTACCTCCACAGCCTCTGAGTCTATAGACATGGGCCACTGTGCCTGACCCACCATGACCCCACTTCTGCGGGTTGTGTTCAATGGGAGAACTGTTTCAACCTGGCCAGATCTTCTGAGGTTTTTTCTTTTAAGATTGATTGATTGATGGATTGATTGATTTGGCACAGGGTCTCCCTCAGCAGCTCAGACTAATAGTGAGCCTCCTGTCTCAGCTTCCCCAGTGCTGGGATTACAGACACGTGCCATCATGCCCAGTTTTGGTGGCTGGCTCTGTGCAGGGCAGACACAGCATGTGCTGCTTTGGATGGGTGCCAGGGATCCAACCTGGGTCCTTGCTCTTGCCTGGCAATCACTTAGACAACTGAGCTATCTCCCTAGTCCCCTGAGTTTTTTAAAAAGAATCCAAAAGTTCAATAAAAATTTCCTGATTCTAATATGCCAGCAACTTGTTTGGTGGTTTTTGCTTTTCAGTGCTGGGGATAGACTACAGGGCCTCATGTGACCGCCTCAGCCCCCAGCTTGTGTTAACTCTCTGCTGTCACCATTTTGACATTTTAAGTAACTTTTAAAGGGTACAAGATTTCATATTTCACTGGCCCTGCAGCAGGATTGACAAGGAATGCCTCCAGGGCAGCATAAAGAACACTAGCATGCGTGTGTGCTTGTGTATGGGAGCTGTATGGCCTATGTGAGTGTGAGCTTGTGAGTCTGCAGTGGTCACAACACATGCAAGTGGGTGTGATGAGCGATTGAGTGGGCTTGGTTTTTTTTTTTTTTTCCTTGCTGGAGATTGAACCCACCATCCCAAGCATGTCAGGTAAGCTTTACCACTGAAATGCATTTTGCATTTTCTGTCCAGCAGCGTGGGTGGTGTGTATGAGAAAAGAGAGGCATGTGAGAGATGTGCATGAGGGTGCAGGCGTGTGTTGCAGGATGTGTACAAATGTGTCTGTGTGGCATGGGGGGAGGAGGAATGCTGGGCAGGGAGTCACGGGACAGTGTGGCAAACACTGACCTCACACTGCCTTCCCTCTTGATGGAGGCACGATGGTGAGTAAGCCCTATACTTGCCCAGGGGCAGCTCAGCCAACCCAGTAAGAGAGGGCGATGTGTAAACAGATAACTGGAATAAAGGAGCTCTCTGAAATAAGCCCCTCAATACATAGTCCACCTCCTCACCTACTTCAGGAGGCCTGTGGAGCCAGATTTCCCCTGAATCAGTGGGAGGGGTGCAGCTGTGGGAATCTGGTAACAGTCTTCTAGGAGGCCTGGGCTGCCCAGCCCCCCCTACCAACCTACCCCCCAGGGCACACCCAAACACTGAGAAGTGACCTCCCTCCTACCGGCACAGCCACACACCCAGTCCCATAGGAGCTGATAAGAGGCGACCTGCAGCTCAGGGCAGGATATAAACAGCCCAGCCCCACCCCTACCCCACCCTGACATACCCAAGGGGCAGGCAAGTGAGAGATGGGCCCTCCTCTGGACTGCTGAGAACTGGGGTGAGGGGTTCTGGCTCCTCAGCGCCCCCCAGGCCTCGCCCACTAGTCTGTGCTGAATCTTCAGGTCACCTTAAGGGGCAGAGCCAGAGGTAGAGAACAAGGTAAGGAGAGACAATTGGGTGAGAAAGGTGTTTTTGTTTTTGTTTTCCTCCAGGTTCTGTCTGGGGCTGGCTAAAGGAATGCTAGGTTCTGGTTCCCTTCTTACCTGGCCCATGACCTGGACCAGCCTTTAGCCTAAGTAAAATGGGGACATCCAATCTCCTCAAAGGGCTCTGAGGCAGATCCAGTGAGATAATGGGATGTAGAAAGTGCCTCATAAAGGGGAAACAGCAGGACAAGGGTCAGCCCAGCACCCCGGTGTTAAGGCCACCACCTGCCCCACGTGGTCCCTTGTTGAAACTGCCAGCTAGAATAATTTGGAGCTGCAAATAGGACCAGGGGAGGTTCAGCAAGTGCAGCTAGGGTTCCAAAAGCCCAGCACCCTTTCTTGGCCAGGTGACCTTAGGCAGCACTGGGTCACCTCTCTTCGGCATGTCCAGACCCTGGAGATAACATGATGGAGAAGCTAGCGCTGTGTGGAGCACACACAGATTCTCAGGAAGTGAGGTCACTCTAGGGCTCAGTAGCTTGGTCAGCATGTGAACGAGGCTGGCTAAACCTTCACCCTAGGACGCTGCCCAGCTGGCCAACTTGCTTCCACTTCAGAAGGGCAATGTAAGGACAACTCTTTCCAAAATGGCTGAGGACAGTTCAAGATTCTTTCAGGATTCCTGCACTGTCGCCAATAAATCTGCTTTATTTGTATCCTTCAGTGAATAATCTGGAATTTCCAAGACAATTGAGCAGTATGCTGCACTTTCTACCACCCAAAAGCTATTCTTCCCAGCAGCCCTCTAGAGTCCCCCCAGTAAGATGTCTTCTCTAAAGCCAGACATGCTATCACAGTGGATTGGAAGAGTAACAGTTCTGGAATCTGCAGAGGAAGTTCCAAGTTGATGACGTTAGAGGTGCTCCAAGGGATGGGCTAAAGGACAGAGCCAAGGTACATTTGCCAAGCCTCTGCATCTGTTGGCCCGGAAGTGATAGACCTCTCCTGGGAGAAGATGAGACAAGGTGGTGTTCATCACAGAGCTTTGGAGAAGGCTGGCTGTCAACAATTACTCCCTCCCTCATTTAATTTAGGCAAGTACTCATCTCCAGTTTGCTTTTTCCCCCCCTTACCAGATCAGAACTTTGATTTCATGTCACACACAAAAGCCAGGACTCATATTACAGATATCCAGCTTGAAGCCAACTTGGCTGGGATGCAAAAGCATCTATTTATTCCACAAGGCTGGACATGCAATTCTAGACTTCTTAGAGAATGTCAGATCCAAACCTCTGTCTTACAAGAGGAAGCAGCCGCAGAGGACACACTCTGCCAAGGTCACGGCGCCCATGTGCTGGGGCATAACAGCCCCGTCTCAGCTTCCTGCACGCGTGTTCCTGCTTGTGTGAAGTCTTACAGTTCTGTCCTTAGCTGCCACCTTGTTTTTTTCCCCACTCCCAGCCCCCATCCAAGGAGCCAGGAAATCCATCCCCAGCCCACCCTCCTACCCTGGAAAGTCAACAGCAGGAAGACAGAGGTTAGAAAAAGCCCAGAGGGCACTTTATTGGAGGACTCTGCCTCCATTCATAGGAGAAAGGAGCCAGAACCCCAACCTGAGGGTTCCGGTAGGGCTCACTCCCACTTTTGCTGGCCCAATCATGGTTATAGAATAGTCTGGCCACCAGCATTTAGAGGGAGGAGTCAGGGAGAGGAATATTTTAGAAAAAATAGATTTCTATGTACATCTGACATATTTATAGCACATAAATTAGGGATGCTCTGATCCCCGCCTGTGAGCCCAAGCACTGAGCAGGGAGGTGTAGTAGCCAATCCAGAAGGAGGTGCTGGAGGCCATAGCCCTGTCCGCCCATGCTTTGGCCTCCCCTGGCTTCCTTGGCAGAGTCCAGGCAGGAGGAAGGCACAGTCTGCAGCCAGCGTTGGGACTGTAAGGAGCCACACGGGCACAAGTCACTTCAGACCCCAGAGCTTGTATTCCAAGAGGGCAGGGAGAAGAGGCCACGGGCTCCAGCAGGTCCAGGGCCCTGCTGCTCCTGGTCTTCAGCCCCTCACACCAGCAGAGGGAGCGAGTCCGCAGGGGAGGGGAGGGGCATCTGGTCTCTGGTCCTCCAGGAACCTCAGCCTCCAGTCCAGTCTGTGGCTTTGGTCTCAATTTAGTTAAGACCTTTACTTCCGACTCTCTACAACCTCTTCCTCCTTCCAGCCACTGGAGTTTTTGCCGAATTTGTAGACCAGCCGCCGGCCATCCACCCGCTCGAGGATCTCTCGCTTGTAGTAGTACCTGGATGGGGATGAGGTCGTCAGGGGTGCCAGCAGGAGACCTGCACTGCTGCCACCTCCCATGGGCCCAGGAGCTCTCACTGAGCTGCCCCTCTGGTTCTAAGCCTGGCCAAAGCCACTTCACTCTTCTCACCTGTTATCCCTAGGCTGGCTTAGTACCCTTTCCAGGGCCCTACTTCTTACCTTGCTTCTCCCCCCACCCCTAGTAATGGAGATTGAACCCAAGCTCTTCACACCGAGCAGCTTTCTTTTCTCTTTCTTTCTTTCTTTCTTTCTTTCTTTCTTTCTTTCTTTCTTTTTTTTGAGAAATAGTCTTGCTAAATTGCTAACTTACTCAGGCTGGATTAGAACTTTCCGTCTTCCTACCTCAGCCTCCTCAGCCTCCCAGGGTGTTGGAATAATAGGTGTGCACACCACCACACCTAGCTTGTACTTGTTCCATTGTATTTTGTGGCTGTGTCCTTCAGGCTTTTCATCAAAACACAGGAATGTAGGTCTGGAAGGGACCCCAGAGATGACCTGCTTTTCGCTGTGGCTGGAAGATCCTTTCTTGGGGTGAGCCTCGCAGACAACACAGGAACACTGCTGAGTGTGCCCTGCTCACCACATGCCTGCCTGCCCACCCAGTACTTTCTCAGTGCTGTCACTGGAGCCACCAAACAGGCCTAGGCTGCCCTCGTCCTCACTCTTCAGGACATACAGGGGTCACACATAGCTCAGTGCTGGCTGGAGGGCAGAGCAGCACAAACAACTGTCCTAGCCGGGTGGTCACATGGCCACCAGCTCACCCACCTCATGGCCCGGCTCAGCTTCTCATAGGTCATGTTGCTGTTCTTCTTCTTTTGGCCCCAAAGTTGGGCCACAGCTTCAGAACGTAGGAATTTGAAGACACCCTCGTGCCGATTCTCCCATTTCATGAGGCCCTCATTGAGCTCCGGGTGGATGAGGATGTCCCGGATGAACTCCCACAGATGGGTACCCCTGGGTGCTGCAAGGACCATGCCCCATTAGCTGGTTCCAGGGGTTCCCTCATCCAGCTGGCCCCACCCATCCCAGCACACTGCTGACCAGTGGGCAGCACATGGTCCAAGTCCCCAGTGCACCCAAGTGGCTGCCTCCCTCCTTAGCTCCCCTGAGACTAGCTGTCACTGGCTAAGCTGTCTGGCTATGTGGTGTGGATGGTGCCCAAGACCACCCAGGACTCTCAGGTCTGTAGGAGCCACAGTGAGAGCTAGCACTCAAACTGCTGCCAAGAGTTGCCAAGTACAGGGACAGAGGACCAGCCCCAGCCTTTGGTCCAGGGACAGCTTCCTGGAAAAATAACCCCTGAGGTCTAGAAGAGCTGGGAGCCCTGTGCGCACGTGTGTGGATACGAGAGACAAAGGGAGGCCAGAAAGTGCTTCAGGCACCCTCCCAGGGGTGCCCGGCAGCCAGAACACTCACTGCCCGAGGGCCCTGTGCAGCCCTCAGGAGGCTGGTGGTGAAGTCCCAGCCTACCTGACCCTCAGGGCCACCTGAGCAAGACTCCTCACTCACTCCCAAGAGGGACAGTGGCCAAATGCAGAATGAACTGGAGTGTGTGGGTGAGAAAGCTCCCAGCATGTGCATGGGCCTCCTCTGTGAGCCTCCTCCTCTGTGAGGAAAGTTTCCTTTTCCTCTCTAGGGCCTCTGCAGTGAGGTCACCATTGCCTGCGCCCTCCCTGAGGTGTTCAGCAGTACCCAAGCATGATGGGAGGCTGGCCATTGAGAGGCCAGAGGAGAGTAGGGCAAGGGTGCACAGCATCACCTGCACCGCTGCCGGTGCCCATGCCCCCGGGCTCACCATGCTTGCTCTTCTTGCCCTCCAGGCACTCCCAGTACTCTTTGCTCAGCTTCCGGGGCCGGCCCCGTTTCCGCTTCCCATGTTTCAGTTCTCCCTTCTTATAGTCAGGAAACCCATCTGCCAGGAGAGGAGAGGAGAGCCAGGGTGAGCGAGCAGGGAAGGGGCACTGAAGAGGGTGGCCCCCAGCAGCCAGAGCCTCACCTCTAGGGAAGAGCTTGCTGTCGGTGGGGTCCAAGTCCACGTCGCTTCCCCCATAGTCTGAAGAATGGGAGCTCTGAGGAGTACCAGTCCCTGGGGTTGGGGTTGGAGGTTCAGAGTGAGTGCCCTGGCCTGGACTGGACACAGGCAGTCAGCAGGAGGGGCACAGTGACCTGCAGACTGTTTACCTGCTGTAGAGATCTCAGAGCAGCCTGGGGAGGGCGCTCCGGCACCATAGCTGGGGGCATAGTAGGGGCTGGCCTGGTAGCTGTCCTCCATCACCTCTGGCAGCTCCTGGGCACAGGGGCTTCCCTGGTCTGGAAAGAGGAGTAACTTTGGTGAGGGCTCAGGGGATCCGCAGGGGCAGGGGAGACTGCTAGTTGTCGGAGGGCTCACTGCTGGGAGTTCTCCAGTTGGGGAAGGAGAAGCCTGTGCAGGTGGCATCAGGAGTGCTCTGGGATGAGACAGGATGGGGGAGGGAGGGAGGAAGAGAACAGGTTCTCACCGAAGGAGCCTGGGTCTCCAAGAGCCTCGTGGAAGGCCACTCCACTGTCCTTCTCCAGCAGTTCAATGATCCAGCTGAGTTCATCAGAAGGGCTAGAAGCTGATAAGGAGGGAGGAGTCACCCTCACCCCTCCCTCGGGGGCTCCCTCCAGCAGTACCCTCTAGCTGTGGGCTTGGGGTCCAGCCAAGGGCCAGCCCTCCCCTTTGGCCCCCAGGCCCCTTGGCTACCGCTGGGCTTGGCCACTACTGCCCCGAAGCCTGAACTCACTGAGATCCTGTAGCTGGGCATGGAGCTGGTCCCCCAGAGGCCCGAAGACCAGCCGCAGCTCCTCAAGGGCACAGCTGCACAGGGTGGCCCCATCCATGTCACACCGCGAGAAGTCAATGGAGCTGGCGTCATACTTGTTCTTTTCTACTTGGTAGCTGATCCAGTCCAGAACTTGGGCTTTTGACCAGAACTGTGGCTGCTCCCCTGACCAGCTGGCCTTCTCTGTGGGTCAGGAACAGCGACAGGCTTAGCCACGGCCGCACAGGAACATACAGCCCCATTTCCAGTGTCCCTTAGCAATCGGAGTACTCAACTCTCCCCTCAAACAGCACTTGCAGGACAAGGGGCAGATGACTCAATGCCCTGGCCCTTATTCAGCCGGCTATAGCCACAGCGCCCCCACCCAACAGACTCCTAGGCCAGTGTCTCCCTCATCCCAGAAGGCACCCATTTCACTTCACCCACCAGTGCCCTCCAGCGACGTCTGGGAGTTGCCCAGGGACAGCACCAAGTCATCAGGCCCGAAGGTGGCAGCAGGGGGAATAGAGGCCAGGCTGGGGTCCTCCGAGCTGTACATAGCACTGAAGTAGTTGCTAAAAATGTTGCTAATCTCACAGGTTGCAGCCATGAGGCTACCTAGGGAGAGGGGACAGGTAGGTGAGGGTGTTGGGGGGGGTCCTCCTGGTACGGTCCTGGCTACTCTGTACCATCCCAGAGGACAGGAAGATACAGGGACCCTCTCAAGAGGGACATCTAAACCAGGGCTGGTGGCACCTGGCTGTAATCCTGGTCCTTGGGAATCTGAAGCAGGATTGCAAGCTCAAGACAAGCCTGAATTATTAAGCTAGCCCCTGATTCAAAAAGGGAGAGTGCTAGATCTACGAGCAAAGTGGAGCCACTGTACCCTATACCAGTTGATCCTCCTCACACTACCTATAGCCACAGCGGACAAGTCAGGGGCACCCAGTCCCCTGCCTAGAGGCAATCGCTCCCTTCCTGCCCCTCCATCCCACTGTGGGACTGCAGACCAGAGCGGGCATCTCACTACACATCCACTAGACCTGTTTCCCAAGTAGGGCAGGGGAACAAGACAGGTAGAAGCCCTACCTGTGCAGATGTGGCAGGCAGACAGGGTGGCTTCGGAGGTCACAGGTGAGAGAGAAACCTAGATAGCAGTAAGCTCCACCAGGGAGCAGCGCGGAGACTGGCGGCTGTGCGCCCCCACCCGCCCTAAATAGGGCCTTGCGGGAGCTCCTCCCAGCACCAGACCTTCGAGGCGGCAGAAACCTGAGCTGGTGGCTCATTGGATAGAGGGGATTTCCTGGCCTTCAGACTGGGCTCCTGGCCCCAGGTGATTTGCATAGTAGGTGCCACTTGGCCCAGGTCCTAGCAGGCGGTGCTGGGAAATCAGGCCTGGCTGGTTTAATGATTGTCAGAGTCTGTCATCTTGCACCCTCTGGGGTTGGGCCCAGAGCACCGGGCTGGGCAGGTGGCGGGAACATCGCTGGGGTGGGCACCTGTGCTTTGGGCTGTTCTCTGACTCAGGACATTTCTGGTGGGGGTGGGGGGACAGGTCAGGGATGGGCTGGAGAGGAATAAATGTAAGTTGGGGAAACCTGGAGCCCTGGCTGGAGATCTGGAGACAAAGGGCCTCATGGGAGGGAGCTTACTGAAGTAGAGGGATTTTCTCTACAACACCAGGAGAAGGGGTACGAACTGGGAGACTCCAGGCTCCATGCTAAGCAACTCACGGGCCACTGGGTATGGCCAGGTCACCAGCCTAACCCTGGGATCCAGGGCCCCTGGCCATAGGGCCCTCTAGCAGGCATCCCATTGTCACATAGCACTATCTGCTTGGACCCCACCCAAGCGATACGTTGCTCTAGCCACTTCTGGGGAGACCTATCCTTTCTTGAAAGCGCTTCGCTGGGTACCTGATGGAGCCCCTGCTGCCTAAAGGCTGCTGGAGGGCCTGGAATCCACTTGAACACATTTCTCCCCCGCAGTTCAGTCCCTGGTCCAGTGGATCCCCCAGTTCTCCAGTTCCTGCTGCTGCCCTCTAGTGGTTAGAAGCCAGTAGGTCCTGGTATTGAGTAGTTCGTAGTACTGCACATTTTATAGTAGTTTACTATAGACCAAGCACTTTGTTTTGTTCTGGTTTTCTTTGGAGACAGGGCTTCACTATGTAGTACAGACTTGAACTCCAAGCAGCCGTCCTGCCTCGGCCTCTGAGTGCTGGGGTTCTAGGCGTGTGCCACCACACCCACAGACCAAGTGCTTTTTACATAAAAATGCTCAGACAACAGCAAACAAATGTGGTAGCAATATACAGGTACCCTCATGCAGCTTGAAGGGGCTCCAGGCCTGCTCCAGGCTATCCTGAGTTAGATAAAAATGGGAGGTATCCTTTACCTCGGACCCTGTGCCTCTGGCTGAGCCCTGGCCTCCTCTAGGGACAGAGTAAATCCTGCCTACTGCATTTGTGGATCTATAGACTGAGCCCCAAATCCAAGGGACTGGGTTTGAAACCCCCACTCCCCCAGCAGGAGTAACGGGGTAGACATTCAAATCCAGTGTCTGCATCTATGTGGTACTGGGCAAGATTCTGCACATCAGTTTTTCTTGTAAGAAATGAGGCTGAGGCTGTGCCAGGCGTGGTGGGGCATACCCCTGTAATCACAGCACTTGGGAGGCTGAGGCAGGAGGATCCCCTGAGTTCAAGGTGGCTATACTGACCTATATAGCAAGACCCTGGCAAAAGAAAAAAGAAAGAAGGAAGGAAAGAAAGAAAGAGGTTGTGGCTGAGCATGGGTGCCCAGTTTGAGCCAAGTCTGAGTAATTTAGCAAGGCCCTGTGTCAAAATAAAATAAAACCAGATACCAGGCATGGTAGCAGCTGAGGCAGGAGACTGGCTGTAACTTTGAGGCCAGCCTGAGTTACACAGTAAGTTCAAGCCCGGCTTGAACTACATAGTGAGCTCCTGTCTCAAAAAAAAAAAAAAAAAAAAAAAAAAAAAAGCTGGGGTTATACCTCAGTGGCATAAGCACCTGCCTGGCAAATTCAATTCTCAGGACCAAAAATGGAAAAACTAACAACAACAAAACACAAAATAATCAAAATTTAAAAGGCTGAGGGCTACAGTTCAGTGGCAGATAGTATAGCTTGCAATTGTGAGATCCTAGGTTCAATCCCCAGTTTTGGGGAAAAAAAAAATCAGTTTGGATTTAATAATTGCTAGTCTTTTCGAGCTGATTTTTTTGCTTGGTATTCTGTTTGGTTTTGTTTGCAGTGCCGGATCCGGGCTAGGGCGTGGCTCACACGGGCCAAGAGCTTCACAGTGAGCTACACCCCCAGCCCCAAGCTAGCCTTTTATGTTTCTGAGAGGGAAGATTTGAGTGTCTCCCCTCCCAGCCCCACAGCCCTTCATTAACATCTTAGTCCCCTGTAGGTTCGCAGGCCTCTCAAGCAAAACGCGGACTTCTCCTTCGGGTTTCTCCTCTTAACAGGAAAGCCCAAACACTAGGGAATTCCTCCTCTTCCTTGTCTGAGCCCCTAGGTGCCAGGGAGAGGGGCAGACGACGTCCAGAGTCCCCTCTGCCCGGCCGGCCCAGGTGGCTGGAGGGCCAGGGCCCCGGGTCGGATTTTCCCCAGCCCTTCAGGGGCCCTCCCCGTGCCGGAGGCGGGCACACCCTCTGCCCAGTCACCCGCCCTGGAATGCGGGGGAACCGGCTCCGCCCCGGTGCTCACGTGCCCCTTGCCTCGCGGAGCACCTGGCCGCCGAGTCTGCGGCTGCGCAGAGCCGAGCGTGCAGTGCAGAGCACGTCCTGAGCGCTGCTGCCTTCACTGGGCTTCCTGGCGGCCGCGGCCTAGCCTATTCTGTAGGCCCGCATCCTGCCGCCGAGCCACCGAAGAGAAAGTGAGCGAGAGGAGTGCAGAGGGGCCTGCAGGCTTGTGCAGGCGGTGGGCAGCGCCCCGCTTCCCAGCCAGGGTGGCGCAGCTTCTTCCTCTGGTGTGGGCGCTGGCACTAGGAAAGGCCAGGCCACCCAGGAGGAGCCCAGGCGCTGGGCCAGGCGAGGCAGGCCAACCTGCGGTCAAGGCGGATGCTGCAGGGGTCTCCAAGGAGGGAAGCGGCTAAGGCATCAGGCTGTGAGGTGTGAGGGAGGGGCATGGGGTGGAGGGCCCTAGAATAGGCCTTGCTGCGACACCCTAATGTGGCAGAACAGCCCTAGAACAGCTGGAAGCTCCAACGGCCTTACAAAGTCTCCTTTCCAACTGCATGCAGGTGCAGGAAAGCCCACGGGCAGAGCTACAGTAGACAGTGCTGTGAGCACCAGGAAATCAGAATTTAGAGCCAAGCTTTAAAGAGACTCTTGTAATCACTGCACTGTTAGTACCTAGTGGGGCATGGTGGTGTACATCTGTAACCCTAGTAGTCTGGGTGGCTGAGGTAGGAGGATCCCACGTTCTAACCCAGCATGGGTAATTGAGGGACTTAGAAAAATCCTATCTCAAAAAGAGGGGAGACCAGGATGTAGCTCAGTGTGAAGGCCCTGGGATCAATCCCCACTATCACACACAAAAAGAAATACGGAAAGGTGGGGGAGACAAAACCCACCAAGAAACCCTGTGTGCATATGCAAGTGACAGAACCTTAGCTTCTCCCCTGCAACTGCTATGACAAAGCCAGATATTTTCTCTTAAGCTTCTGTGGGGACCCAGTGTCCTTCAGCCCAAATTCCTTTTTCCTCACGTACTGGGGACAGAAGTTGGGCTTTTGCACTGACTTTTAAGTCTAGCCCTTTTTAAAATTTTGAGCTAGGCTTGGTGGTACCTGCCTATAACCCTACCATACTGGAGGATGAGGTAGGACTGCTGAGTTCCAAGCCATCCTGGGCTCCATAGTGCATTCAGGGCCAGCCTGAACTACACAGCAAAACCCATCTCAAAAAAATGAAAAAAAATGGGGCCGGTGAGATGGCTCAGTGGAATAAGTACTTCCCTAGCAAGTGCAAGGGCCTGAGTTCAATCCCCGGTTCTGCGAAGAAAAAAAAAAAAAAGAGAGAGAGAGAGAGAAATGAGAAAAATGGGGGCTAGGGAGATAGCTCGGCAGTCTGAGCACCTGCTTGGAAAGTTCAAGGGACCTGGGTTTGATCCTTGGTACCGCATGCTGTGCCAGCCCTGGAACCCTGTCATGCTAGTTGCTTTGAAATGGCGTGGTGGTATGTGCCTGTAATCGCAGCACTGGGGAGGCTGAGACAGGAGGATCACTACAAGTTTAGTGTTGTTTAGAGTTGTGTAGCCGGACATTGTACCAAATAAAATTAAAATGTGAGACAAAGTCTCAACCAAGTCGCTCAAGCTGAGCTCTAATTCCCCAGCCTCCCAGAGTGCTGGGGTTATAGGCATGTGCCACCAAGTACACACTCAGCCTGCTGGCTCCTTAAGGACAAGAGAATACTGAACACTGTCACCCCGAGTTACTACCTTCTAATCATCACACATGAAGATCTAGGAGCCCTGAAAGAAAAATTTAACAGCCACTCAGTCTCTATGATTCACCTAGTTTTTGTTCAAAAACATTTATTAAAGAAAGACCCATCTCTGCTTCTCTCCAGAGACCTAAGTAGAAGGAGAGAGGAGACCAAATCCCCCGACACCACCAGCAGCCTGTACGAGGGGAGCGGGGAGCTACAGGAAGGACTTCTGTCTTGGGGCTTGGTGAACCAGAAATGCTCACCAGAACAGAGGCCACAGAGGCTCAGACCCTGGAGCCCAGAGGGGCCAGTCCTGTTGGGACAGACATGTCAGGGTGTGAACTAGGGTACCAGAAGGTGGGAACAATATCCCCAAACCCTGCAAAGTCTGAAGAGGCAGAGGCTGCGTGCATGTGTGAGCCCCTAGCTGCCCTTGGGCTCCAGGATCTGCTGGATATAGTTGACAACATTGCTGTGGAGCTGGGAGGCAGTGGAGGCAAAGGTCTCCTTGGCGAGGGTCTGGGCCGCTGAGCTGCCAGCCATCATGGCATGGTATAGTGGCAGGGTGTACTTCTGCTTTCCCTGCAAGAAATACATACACATCCTCAGTAGCATGCTCGGTGGGTGCGGGGGTCTAACAGTGAGCATGGTCAGGTGTCAGAAGGCCAAGAAGCCTCTGAGACAGGTGCTCCGATTCTGGTATCTTCTCATAGGACAAAGAGCCACAGAAAACAGACG